GACTCTCGTCAGAAGTCTCCTGATGATGGTGACGCTATCGACAAGACTTGTCAGCGCGAGCCGGTCGACAAGGCGGTGGGGATGCACGCTCAATGCAATCCCCTATCTGCTTGGTAGCAGCATGAGGCGCCCGAGGCTGGGCTATTGGTTGGGCCCCGGTGCCCCGGTAGGAGCATGAGTCTTCGATCGCCAATCTCCAGAAGGTGGAGGGAGAGCTGAGATAGCTCGCTGCGGCTGTGGAAGCCGGCTAAGAAGTTCGTCCGTAAGGATGACAAATTGATCTTTGAAAGACTCAGAGAGCTTGTGAGCTGTTTCCTCAAGTTGAGCTTAAGTAACGTAGCTCTGATGTCGTTCTATAGGTGGAGGTTGATCAGACCCTTGTTCAGAACTTGACATGTTTTCTCAAAAAAAGAAAAGATGCCTCACGGTAGGCGCTAAACTGTTAATGTTCTAGTGATCACACAGTTCAATTATGTCCGTGTTTGGACAAATTTGTCGAGGATTAATGAATGGGCCACTTTCTTCCTGACTTTATGTCTAGTTCTTGAATTGGGGTATCTGGAAATTCTACACAAGTAGAAATTCGTAAGAGGGTGGGGTTTGGTTCACCCATTGTACCTCCAACGATCAAGTTAAATGATAAACTTGAGTGGGGTAAATAAGAACTCAGAGTTCTTGTGCGTGCGATTGCTTAAGGATTAGATTTAGAAATCAAAATTTCAGCCCTTTGTAAGGTAGAATAGTACATGTATTTATACTAAGGTGGTATGGGCAAATGGGCAAGTTCGGCAGAGCGTAGAGAGGCGGTGGCGAAGTATGGGTTAGCGGCCACATCAGCACTTGCGTTATAGGTGTCGGCTAGCGAGTGGAGTGAATGTCGCTTCGGCATTAAATGGGAAGAGCCTGGCGGTGTGGCAAGACCCATGTGGTCTGATGAGTCATGAAGACTATCTGGGCTAGAGTCATGATGACACATGCCAAGCATTAAATGCGATGTTGACACGTTGTCATAGGGGGAGAGGCTCGAGATGAAAACAGTCATTTAGCTTCGACGAGAAGTAACACCTTTCAAGTCGACATGGAGGGATGTCGGCTCGACAAGTCAGCTGAGTTGTCATTTTTATTGGTCTTTGGCCGCCAAGTGGTCGAGTGGACTCGAGGCAAGTCGTCTTCGATAAAGGGGGCGACAAGTATCACCTTTCGAGTCGACATGGAGGGATGTCGACTCGACAAGTCGGCTAAGTTATCATCCCTATTGGTCTTTAGTCGCCAAGTTAATTGGGGCATAACACGCAAAAATATACTTGTTCATTGCTTGGCACTGAATTACACTTTGACGAAATGAGAACACCATAACAATTAATATTGGCGTGACCTCTTCAGAGTTAGGGACTCTCTTAAATCAATAGGAGCTCCAAGTTAATTTGAGCCAACTTCAGTACTTTGGGCATTGACATGCAAACGTCTCTTATGACTACGTTAGCCTGACCTTCGGTTAGTGGGGTCAAATAAATCACCATTGGTGATGTTATTCCTTTGCTGGATTTGGATAAGGGGTTACCCCAATTCATTGCTTCTACCGAGGAAGCCTAGCAAGCATCAAGAGATTCTTTGAAACGAACTCCGAAGGGAGTTTGGATTGATGTCCAAAGTTAGAAGACATGACAACGTCTTGACCTTCGCTTGTAACGAGGGTCGATATTTCTTCGCTCTGGGTGAAGTTTTTTTAGCTTCCAATGAAGCTCAAATTGTCTTTGGTGAAGTTTGCCATGACACATGCTGGGGTTGAATTTGACCCTATTTTCGCACTGCAGCCAATCTTGCTGCAGCTCCTAACAGTAGCCGTCGATGATTGGTTAGATGAAATGAATATCTCAAATTTCGCTTGGTTAAATTCAATGACCAACAATTTAGCAAAAGGCTCGAGGGTCTTGGTGTTAGGCTATGACATAATTTTCTTATCGAAGGAGAAAGAATTTCCCGACAGAGTTGCTATCCTATTTCGAGTCTTTTGAATTACAATTGACTCAGATTATAATTCAAAGATTGCATTTGAAATAAGAAAAATCGATTTAAATTAGGTTCTTTTCCATGTGCTGATGGAGCGTCGATCTCATACTCAGTTGATGGTCCAACTAAGACAATGGATTTCTTGGTGTTAGTCTCTGATTTGGTCACTTGGAAGATGACTTGGTCTTAATTTGGAATCGAATATCAAAGAGAGAAAGAGAGACGAAACGCTAATTCCATGTGTGTGTATGTATGGGGTACTCGATTCCTTTTAATGAACAATCTCCTTCTCGTCTTATAGGTTGAGAGAGAGAGAGAGAGAGAGAGAGAGAGAGAGAGAGAGAGAGAGAGAGAGAGAGAGAGAGAGAGTTAACGGTTTCTTTGTGAGTGGAGTAAGTGACCATTAATTCCAGGAGATTGTGGGAGGATGGTTATCTCTTGAAAATAGAACTCAACATTAAATTGGCAAAATTCGCTGATTAATTAGTTGGCAAAGCTCGCTGAAACTATTCACGCGAGGCTCACTTGGATGTGGGTGGACCATCACTTTCGTATCGTGGGTGACGTAGCCCACATGTATAGCTACGAGCGAAGTTCGCTGATATTAAAAGGCAGAATTCACATTACTCAACTCGTGGCCCATTTTCAACATGTTTGGATTGAGCCGAAGTGGGCTGTATGGCTATGTTCACGTGATTGTTTGAGCGAACTTCGCTATAGCCTATTGTGGGCTTGACTTTGGGCCCATTTGAAGTGTTTAACCCATAGGCGTTCACTTCTTGAATCTAAACTGAACATTAACCTGGATAAAATATATTTTAACTGTCTACAGGGAAAGGTAAAATCATGTCAGTGGCGTCTTGTCATCTGTACGACGCTTATAATTGGCTCATACTTATCTCCATAGTTATTGCCAGTGTACACTGAATTGTATCTCACCGAGTGATGTAGAGTCAGGCACATGTCAGTCGTATGGTCCGGATCATGTGACCAACAGAGCTAATATGAATATAGACATAGTTTGATCAACCAAGCCGACCCCATCAACAGTCGGAGTCTGGGTCAAAAGACGTCTAAAAGTTAGAATCCACGAGAGGAAGCTCGCGTCTGAGTCGAAAGGTGTCTTAGAGAATATTAGTCCGAGGGCAAGGAGAGGGAATGTGTGACCGTTATTTAGCTCTTTGGCTTCTCCTTTTCCTTTTGGTCTGTGTAATATGGCCGAATGTCTCTTGGGAGTTCATCTTCGTCAAACGGTCCGTAGTTTTTGGCCGCCTACTGCCCCCTTCAAAGTTTCTAGCATCTCAAAATCTAGATCTCAGGAGACTTGGAAACCGACCATCCGTCACTATTATCCCTACAATAACTTATACTAAAAGTTGCAAATAAATGAGGTAGAAAAGATCATTACTTGATTGACCTCCCTTAATCAAATTTATTGGGTCCTTCTTCAATGACAGTAAATACAATATTAGATTAGAAACTGTTCATAAAACAATAGACAGGCGGAGAGAATAGTAGAAACGTATTTTATTAACTCCTTAACCCGTGCAGCCAATCTTGCTGCAGCTCCTAACAGTAGCCGTCGATGATTGGTTAGATGAAATGAATATCTCAAATTTCGCTTGGTTAAATTCAATGACCAACAATTTAGCAAAAGGCTCGAGGGTCTTGGTGTTAGGCTATGACATAATTTTCTTATCGAAGGAGAAAGAATTTCCCGACAGAGTTGCTATCCTATTTCGAGTCTTTTGAATTACAATTGACTCAGATTATAATTCAAAGATTGCATTTGAAATAAGAAAAATCGATTTAAATTAGGTTCTTTTCCATGTGCTGATGGAGCGTCGATCTCATACTCAGTTGATGGTCCAACTAAGACAATGGATTTCTTGGTGTTAGTCTCTGATTTGGTCACTTGGAAGATGACTTGGTCTTAATTTGGAATCGAATATCAAAGAGAGAAAGAGAGACGAAACGCTAATTCCATGTGTGTGTATGTATGGGGTACTCGATTCCTTTTAATGAACAATCTCCTTCTCGTCTTATAGGTTGAGAGAGAGAGAGAGAGAGAGAGAGAGAGAGAGAGAGAGAGAGAGAGAGAGAGAGAGAGAGAGAGAGAGAGAGAGAGGGGTTTT